AATCCCTCCATACCAGGAATTATCCTACTAAACCATCTCTGAATTGCCTCCAATGAAATAATATCTTTCCTTAAATGAGGGAACCAAAATTGCTCACAGTACTTGAGATATTGTCACACCAGCACCTTTTGCAGTAAGACTTCCCCACTCTTCTACTCCATTAATAATCAGTACCAATAATATCTACTTGCAATTGCCAAAGTTTATTATTTGCCAGTGCACCACAATTTTTGAGTTGTTCTCCATTTCAGAGGCTGTTTCTTTCAAACATCTTCATAAATGTTTAACTGAAAGAAAATGAATTTATTAAAAAATTCAGTGGAGGGTAAGTGGAATACTCTTAGGGAAGTTCCACCATTCAGACACTTAACTGGATAGCAGCAGGCCTTCCCCTGGGATTGAGGATTCCAGGAGCAGAATTCCTGTTCGCTAAGAACTGCCAGACAATCACAGGCCAGTGGATGCCACTGCTAACGTAGAGGATGCTGATGCTATAAACACCCAACCAAGGCCTAGTCATGTACCTCGATCCCAAAGGCTTGGTGAATGATGACCAAATGGGGGTTTTGGGCTGGATGTTGTGCTGGGAGGTGAATAGAGGAGAGTCGGTTGTAAGGGCAGGTGACAGGTTTCAATAGGCCTCCCCTTTCCTGAGACCTGATTCCTTGATTGGGTTCTGAGTGCCTTGAACAAGAAAGGCGCACTTTCAAACCCAACACCGCCACCCACAAGCAACATGGCACGGATTTGTTGCTTAGACTTCCCATATGGTGAACCCCTTACCATTGTGAGGTTAAGACCAGCGGTAAAGGGAATGAGGCCTTGAAATGGACATTAACTACCTTCTTAAAAGCCTCAATTAACAGAGAGGACAAAAGGCTGTCCAGTGACCCTATGTTTGCTTGATTAAATGCCCACCTCCACAACCAAACTCACCATGGGGGAAGGGAACTGAATCTCTTCCTTTGTGTTTGATTTTGTTTACAGTGCTTTTTAGTTCAGTGGCATTAAAATTGTTTCGAGAAAACAAAATTAAGCCATTAAAATAATTACATGATGTAAATGCTTTTTTTTTTACTTACCCCTGTAATGTTTAATGATAATGTTAGACAGTTTGTAACTCAAGCCATGAGCAAGTGAAAGGTTTACTTTCCTGGCTGCTTCTTTTGGTTGTTTAAGTTGATGTAAATCATGAGAGAATGTGATATAACCCAGAAGCTGGAATATGGTGAATGAGAATTTGCAGTGAGCATCCCAGATACAAACACACTTCAAGCTTTCTGGAATGAGGACTTGCATCCTGGACATAATTGAGACACTGAACCTTGATAAACATGTACAGTAACATTCCACAAATTAAATTTAAAAAACAGATTTCCATCTGCAATTCCATCCATTCATAAAACTATCTGAGATTTACAAGGGTCTTATAAATATTAGATCAACTATGACAAAAGGATCACACATTTGCACATGTGATTTGATGCTGGAGAGCAATATAATGATAACGAGCTCCTCCATTGAAAATGATAAATCAATGAATGATGAACCACCAAAACTTGGCTGTAAGCCCTTCTACTTTCACACGGAGTCAGATTAAAGTGTTGTAAAATTTAATTTCAGCCTATATTTACCATTGCAATGGTTTGATCTAACAAAGAATCTTTGCTGTTCTTGTATTCTGTTTCAACAAGCTAGTGACTTATTTCTGTTGATTAGATTGGTCAGTCATTTGTTAGATACACCTATGCCCATTGTTTATCGTAGCATGTAAAAGAGTTTGGAGCTAATTATTTGTCATCCAGATATAAATTTCAGTAATTTACTCAAGTGAAGAAGTTGCAAGTAACCATGTTTAATACTTTATTCAGTTTTGCAACCATAGAGATCACTTTATTCCAGTGTCTAATTAGGTTGATCATTTTTTAAACATGTTATGAAGCACCTTGGTGGCCAACATTGTCTTGGGTTGGACCTGAACTTGGACTTTGATTTTTAGGTTAAGGTAGTAGGAACAGTACTGCTGTACCTCAAAACCCTCTGGTTTTATTCTCCTGTCTGCATTAGAACCAAGGATATCACAATTCTCTCAGGCAGGCAACAAATTGTTCTCATAGTTCATTGCAATGACAAAAATCATTCATGGTAGTGACACCATGTCTGACAATATTGCTCAACTGTGTTTTTACATGGAATCAATTCACTCACATGGAAGTGTCAATTTTATTCCTTGGTGCTGTCAAAAGTGCAGTGTGGTATGCAAACCATTGTTGAGAATATTGTTCAAAATAATAAAAGTTTTCATAAAAAAAAACTACTGCCTGTAGCTTTATTTCATTCAGCACAGAAGTGTTATGCCATCATTGGTGTCAAAACTTAAGAAATGCTGTTATTGGTGCCTATTTACTGTCTCCTGTAGGTTGCATATACACTCAACTTCAATTTGTATATCCTGTAATGTTATAGTTTAAAACCTGTTAAAGGATGGACATTGTTCACAAGAACACACTCTTTCATTTTTACACACAAAACCATTCAATGCAGTGATTCAGCTAGCAAGTTGTTGACCTATTTTATTTAATAAAGTTTCATGAATTTTAGAGATCTCAAATAAAAGCAGAAAGTACTTGAGAAACTTGGTCTGGCTGCATCTGTGGAAACAAAGCCTTTTTTGTTAATCTCCCTTACAAAATATAGGGAATTATTTTTGGTCTGGTATATTTCAAGGTTAATATCAGTAAAACATATTATCTGGCTGTTATCTATAACTGCTATATTTACTTACATCACAATGGTGACGATAGTTCAAAAGTACTTCTCTGACTGTGCTTTGGGTTGTCTTGAGATTCTACAAAGCTTTCTTTTAATCTTCTGAAATTGACTAGAGATGTGTCCTAAATTTTTATGCAACTTGGGTTGTACCTTGTAAGTTATGATGAGACCTGTGTGAGGAAATTTTGCCTAGACATTTGCTGTAGGACAACACCAAGATTAGAAAGAGCAAAGAGGCAGTCAGGTAAATCTGGAACTGATGGTCAGTTGACTGATGCAGTTTGTTCCCATTTCTTCTGAGTTTAAACCAATGTGGGACTGAATACATTTTGCTCCCAACCAAGGAATGAAAATGTAGCCAAAGAATCAAAACACTGAAAAGTTATGTCATATCGGTTTTGTGCATATAAGGGTGTTTGTACTCTAACTAGATTTAACACAATATCTGGGGTGATGAAAATAGGTCTAGTGATTACCAGCTGCTTACAATCAATGTAATTATTTTACAAATTCAGTAATTAATAGATTGTAATCTCTCTAAGACAAAACATGGCTAGGTTCCTTTCTTGCACCATGTGTGATCCATGAAACAGGAATGTTGTGAAATAAAAAGATGGAAAGGTTCACTGACTCATACTCAGAGCACATCTGACGGGAATATAGTGTTCATATTGCTGAAATGCAATTGGCAGTGATAAATGGGTAACTTAAAAGGTCTGTAATATGATCAAATTAATCATTGTACAGAAATGCTATCATCAATAGTGGCAATGAAGGCTCCTGTTCACTTTAGCTCAGTGAAATTTTTAATATTGGCTCTACAGCCTTGTTAAATGTATAGATATCAAAAATATTCTATTCTGGTTCTCTTGGAGCTCTAATATATTGTTATATTTCCTTTAGACGTGTCCCATGTGTGCTTTGTTCTTTCTGTTATGAATTGTAATATTTGTACCAAATGACAGGTCATAAATCAATGCTTCGAGATCACTAGGATAGAGATGGAAACTTTTAATCTTTAGTATTAGATCAGGGTCAAGGTGTGAATATTTCATGAATCTGAAGTCACAATGAATCTATTATTACTGCTCTTTTCTGAATCTGGGAGGTAGGAATTTGATGTTCTTGAATCAGGTAAGAACACAATGCCTTTCTGGTGATACATTGACTGCAACTTAGTTTTGTTACAAAAATTGAAACTCTGTTATGCCTTAATGTGCGAGGAAATGCTTTATCCTCTGTTTTTAAAAGCGTACGTCTTTCCATTATGTGCTTCCATTTGAATCCAGCTTCAACAGAAAGGTGATGGCTTCCATCTGTTACTTGTTAACGGTCACAAGAAAAATGAGCTGTGTCAGCCTTAATTCAGTTCTCGGTAGAGGAGATCCCAAGGTGCAGCATGTCTATGAATTTGACACTAATTGGCAGTATCACTGCAAGAGGCCAATTGAGAGAGAGTTCAGGTGTATAAATGTCACATTGGTGTACTGGGCCTGTGCTATTCTTAGGGTTACAGCTCATTTTCAAGGCAGCCAGGTGCATTCTGGCATTGTTCTCCTGCAAGTTCATTTCACACTTCAGAGGTCTAACTGAGTTCCAAATAGTACAGTGTTCAATCAGAAACCAGATTCTAATTTGAGGCCTACTTGGAATCTAAGACTGTCTTAATCACTGGATAAATTTGCTGATTTGCATCCTGGGAGCTGTGAACCATCTCTTTATTCTATGCCTGCGGGAAAACTGATGTTTGAATATCTGGAAAGTGTTGGAGCGTTGGCATTTAAAACAATTAAAGCTCACAAAATAACTCATTTTATATTCTGCCATTAGTAGATTTTTGACACTATTTGAATATTCAGTCTCGACATGAATGGGTTAATAGCTGGGAATTTAAATGGGAAAAGTGTTCCTTTTGTAATTGAAAGCATTGAAAAATGTACAGAATTGCTTTGGTGTGACAAGAAAGAAAGAAATGCAGGTACACAGATTAATTAAAGAGATGACATAGAAAATGCATGGTGATGTTGAAACTAAATGTAGGACAATCTAAGTCGGAGCAGACTTGTAGAGATTGACTAAAATTGCTTTGTCATGATTGGGATGTTTGGATGTGGAGGCCATGAGCGGTGATCACTAATATAGGACTTTCCTGCCAGTGGCTAAAATTACATGTGCAGATATTGGCACCTCAGTTTTTTCTAACCTTTCCTTTCTGTCTTTCTCTTCAGGTGAATGTGGCTGTCATGATGGTTTCTCTCCAGATCCCATTCACAAACATCTTTGCGTCAGAAGTGACTGGGGACAAAATGAAGGGTTAGTTCGGTAAATGAAAAACAACATATATCTATTGTATGTTACATAGAATACAAGGGGCGCATGTCCAGTTCATTACAATTTATGCATGTTTTGAGTGGAATTTTGCCGGGTAATTCCTTGCATCATAAATAACAACATCAGTTAGCAAATTACTGAGTCGACTTCTCATGTAGCTGTATCTACACTCGTTTGTAGATAGTGATACATGAGGAGCAGACTCAGTATAATGCGAACTGATGCTGTTATTTACGATGTTGTTTAGTACAGCTGGACGATTTACTTATCCTGCATTACTCTCCTGTTAATTGGAAATCAGCTGCCAGGCCCCTACAGCCTACTTTGGTAGAGAAATCAAAGATAAATAATGTAAAATTTTACAGCACAGAAATAGGTCATCCAGCACAGGCCTATGCTGATGTTTATGGTCTATGTAAACCTGCTTTAATATTTTTTGGTGTCTTTCTATTTCTTGCTTCTTTGTGTACTGTAGCTTCACATTGAACATAGGTGTGCTATTTACCTGAACCAGTTTAAAAGGTAGAAGTTTCTCCTGTCTCCTGCATTCATTATTAAATTTAATAGCAACTATATTTGTCATTTATATTTGGTCATGGGATGTGGGTGTCCTATTTCCAAGTCAGAATGGTGAGTGGTTTGGAAGGGAAATGCATGGGCTGATGTGCCCACGTATTTGCTGCTGTCCACTTCTTGACTGAAGTGAACATCAGTTTAGAAGGTGCTGTCTAAAGATCTTTGTTCAATTTCTGCAGTGCATCTTATAGAGAATGCACACTGCTGCTACTGAGTGTTGGTGGTGGAGGGAGTGGATGCGGTACCAATCCAGGATGGTGTCAACCTTCTTGAGTGTAGTTGGAGCTGCACCCATTCAGGAAAGTGAGTAGTATTCCATCACACTCCTGATTTGTGCATTGTAGATGGTGGAAAGGCTTTAGGGAGCCAGGAAGTGAGCTACTCACCTCAGTATTCCTAGCCTTTGACCTGCTGTTTAAGAAGCATATCCAATTGAGTTTCTGATCAATGCTAACCCCCAGGATGTTGATAGTGGGAGATTCAGTGATAGTAACACCTTCGAATGTCCAAACGAAGTGGTTAGATTACCTCTTATTGCAGATGGTCATTGCCAGGCATTTGTGTGGCGTGAATGTTGGTTGCCACCTGTCAGCCCAAGCCTGGATTTTGTTCAGATCTTGTTACATTTGAACATGGACTGCTTCAGTACCTGAGGAGATGCAAATCGTGCTGATCATTGTGCAACCATTGGGAAACATCCCCACTTCTGATCTCATGATGGAGGGAAGGTCATTGATGAAGCAGCTGAAGATGGTTGGGCCTAGGACAGTACCCTGAGGAATCTCTGCAGAGGTGTTCTGGAGCTGAGATCACTGATCTCCAAAAACAACAACCATCTTCCTATGTTCCAGGTATGATTCCGATCCTTGGAGAGTTTGCTCCCTGATACCCATTGATTCCAATTTTGCTCAGGCTCCTTGATGCCACACTTGAAAGAATGAAGACTTTGATGTCAAGGGCTGTCACTTTCACCTCATGTCTGGAATTCAGCTCTTTTGTCCATGTTTGAACCAAGTCTGTAATGAGGTCAGGAGTTGAGTGACCCCGGCGGAACCCAAACTGAGCGTCACTGAGCAGGTTATTGCTGAGCAGGTGCTGCTTGATAGCACTGTTGATGACACCTTCCATCACTTTACTGATGATCAAAAGTAGACTGATGAGGGAGCAATTGGCTGGGTTGGATTTCTCCTCTTCTTCAGCATAGAAACATACTTGGGAAATTTTCCACATTGTCAGGTAGATGCCAGTGTTGTGACTGCACTGGAAGACCTTGGCCAGGGGAGCGGCATGTTCTGGGGCACAACTGTTCAGTACTATACCTTTGCAGTATCCGGTGCCTCCAACCGTTTCTTGATATCGTGTAGAATGAATTGAATTGGCTGAAGACTGGTCTCTGTGATTCTGGGACCGTTGTTGGAGACAAAAATAGATCATCCACTCAGGACTTCAGCTGAAGTATGCTTCAGCCTTATCTATTTGTACTGATATGTTTAATATCTCCAGTTGTAGATTTTCTCACAAATTAAACATGAGGAGGATATCTATACCAATCAAACCCCTTCATTTTGATGGCTGCTTATTCTTTTTCTTTGAGAAACAGAGCTCCAACCTGTTCTTTATTTGTTAGGGTTAGGGTTAGGGAATACAGAATATGCGTAAGGAAGGACAACTTGTTATGTACAACTCTTGGCTAGCCATAATTTAAATCTAATATGCAGCATGCAAGCGAGTTGCAACTGTGCTTTCTTTGAACAATAGTTGCTGATCCTTTTCCAGCAAATTCGACTGCTGAGCAGTCCTTAAAAATCTTTAAATGATCAGAATCTATATTTGGGTAACCAGTCATGACATGAGACTGGTAACAAATTCACAAACAGCCCTTGGGATCTGGTATCATTTTTGTAAGACGTTATGCATTTTCTTAGCCAATCCACCATCCCATTGGATCCTGGAGGAATCAGGAGTACTTTAGCTGCGTTGAGATATGGTTTGAGATTCAACTACTCGGCATGAATATGAGGTAAGACCACCAACCCATTCTATCTCATTGCAGCCCAGCCTTTAGTTTTCCAGCAGATTCTATAATTTGAGCACTTTCTCCCACCAAGATGGATATCTTTTCCTTTTAAAATCAACTTCCAATTTGATTCTTTTATCTGCATCTTTTTTTCTCTTGTGGTCCGGTCAGCACCTGATGGCTGCTTTATGTGCGGAGTTTTCTGGTTGAATGTCTGTGCCTGTATGATTCCTACCACTAACCGGTTGGTCAAACTGCTGTGACTTGTTCTTCTCTCTTAACAAAAGAACGGTCTTGCTTTTCTGTTGTTTTCCACTGAGTCTTCAAGTCAAAGGTGACAGAACCTGATTTCAACCATAGAATGTGAGCTGATGGAGTGCAAGATTTTTAGTCTTGTACTTGCTCCCTAAGGTAATTGCCTCATATGCAAAAATGCTGAATCTGTTATTTGAACTGCAAGGTTCCGCTATGACGCATAAATGTTAGCTTCCATTTTAATTGCAGATTATTTCATACAATATGATCCAAATCTAACTTCCAAATTTTTCTTGTCAAACTCTGAAACTGGAAAGAACATGGCCCATTAAGTATTCTTGTTCAATGTGAAGCTGTTTTGCTCATCTGTGCACTCGGTTTTTTGAATGGAATCTGAAGATGTATGAAAGAGACATTTAATATATTTAAAAGAAATTGTTAAACCTAATCCTAGCCTGCCTCCAACGCACCAATTTCCCAGTATCGT